TCTAACTTGAGTTTTTATTATATCAAAAACCTGTTGAAATGCTGTTATTTTTACTGTCCCCCAAAAGCGCGTTGGCAGCCTCCAGGAAAGCTTCTTTCACAACTTCTCCTTCTTTGAAAGACTTCATGTGTTTCGCAAGAACGTGACTGACACGATAAGATGCTCTGGTAGCAGCCTTGCTCTTGTTGATGGGCCTGGTGAAAATGGACTGCTGTGCATTTAGCTGTCCTTTCAGGCCCCTCCCCTTTTGGGGAATTCCGTCTCGTAGCGTGTGTGCACTGTTTTGAAATGCCGCTCCTAAATTACCCTTCTTCGATAAAGCCACGCTCGCATTGCAGATGAGACAGATGGACTTTGAATTGGAATAGATACAAAAATAATCATCCTCCCACTCGGAGTGAAAATGATATATTTTGGGCTTTTTTGCTTCTGCCATAATTGCGGTCTTGTGTGTGTGCGGACTGTCACTCCTGTTGACACGGACAACGTCAGTGAAATACTGCCCAATGCCCACCAGTCACGCCCCGACACATGGGGTCTCGCCGGCCAATCACAAAGCTTTGATGCGTTCAAGTGCATTATTCTGGACAGGAAGATTATGTTACAGGACATTAACGATACAACATAATGTTGTTGTTCTATTTTTAGACACATCTCGCGATCGACTGGGAATCTCCCCGCGATCGACCGGTTGGGCACCCCTGGTCTAAAGCATTTATTACTTTCATTTTTCACCTCTCATATTCAGTGTGGACCAGTGGCGAACCGTGTCTATCACAACTCTGGACCTTCTGTAGACACACCGCCCGCCGCGGCATTATAATGTCCGTCTTTTCACTGAATTGTCGTCTTGAAAAGGGTACTCACAACAAAAAGTGTTTACTTGTTACATTTAATAGGTTTACACCTTCTGTCCATATGTGCTTTTTATTTAAAAAAATGTTGATGGTCCATCTTTGATAACTTTTGGTTCACATTTCAATCAATTTAATTTGTATTTCCACTCCTTTTTTCCGTTATTCGTACTAAAATTGTTAGATTACACATTCACATCTGACTGGAGATTGGCCCCATTTATTTGTGACGTTGTAAACTCTGCAGTACAAGGCACAAGTGTTGTGAAGCTCATGAAGTGAGGCAAATAGAAATAATCAGCTGATCGAGTGTACATGTGGAAATAGGTGCATTTGATCAGCTGACTGTTTTTCGCCATGCTTTATAGGCCTATAACCAGTGGTGGGCCAGCAGGGCGTTCTCTGCTGGCCCTGTAACCATAACATAAAGTGTGTGTAAAATGTTTTCAAGTATTTAGTTATAAGTTTTAATAGTATAATATCCTCAAAATTAATTACGGTTTTGTTGAGGCTGAACTCGAATTTCCTACATTAAAAAGTCACTTGAACGCCTCAGTTATTTTAGTTGGTGGGGGCCCAACAGATACTGCTAGCCTTTTGTTGAAAGACAACAAATCTGATTGGTAATAAGCATTAGTGACAGATTTATCAGCCAATCAGATGTTGATGTTCAATGACAGTGTCCTGAGCTAAACTTCTGTCATGAACTTCCTTCATTGCATGGACTTTATTTACAAGTGACGGGTGAGTACGTTACTATTCGCGTCATTTTAGAGTGATGTGAGAGTGCACAATGACACAAATTTAATAATAAATGACTTAATTGATCAATGTTGAGAAATGTTGGTCTGCATTTAACCCTTATTTAGCTTACTGTTGTGATTGTTGATCAGCTGTTGTGGTTGTTGAGAGACGGTTTGGAATAATGTGCGCATTATTTGCTTATGGCTGCATTGGCTGGAACAGAGACGTGTAAAATGTGTGTATGTGATTTTCAATTGTTTACTGAAGGCCTTGTCTAAAGCCCCACGGTACACCACTGCCTGTAACCAAACCTTCTCTGAGGTGAAACATCACAAATAAATGATGGTCCTGTTATACTACAAAACTGTGTGCAGATCTTTGTTTTCACAATGAAAATGTAGTTTCTTAGTGAATGTCCTGTACTTGTCTTAAAATCTCATAACATCAGCTTTTAATTTTCCTCCTGGATGTTCTTCTTGACCCTTGGAGAAGGAGAAAAAGCTGAGTCGTGTCTTTCAGACATGTCCTTTCCTAACATAAATGACAGGAAACATAAAACATGACATTATTGCAGAGCAAGTGTGTTATTTATGAAAGAGGTTAGTTAGTGTGTTTAGGGGCTGTAGATATAATACTTTTTTTATTTTAATGTGTACATATAGTGTTAAATTATACTTGCCTTATACAGTATACATTGCAATAAGAAAGCTGACCAAAAAGTAATGTTGCTTGTTAACATCTAAATGTAACTTTTTGCATGGAAAAAACCCTCAACTTAACTGATGTGTAGGTGATCTAGTATTTAGTATTGTTTAATGGAATGTATATCAGTGTATTCAAGTCAATACTTCATTTATTTAAACCAATATCTTTCTTCATTCTTTGTACAGTATGAAAAGAGACTTTGTACCTGTGCTGAAGTTCACTGCTGAGTCCAGTTCTGTCTCTCACTCTCTGGTCCTGTCTGGATCACCTGGAAACCTTAAACAAACAGATATATATTTAAAGTACCATGTGTTGGTTACAAGCTTATTTACATGCAAACAATACAACTTATTCTCTTCTGTGGAACATGTTGGATTGGGTCTAGTCAGGGTCCTTATATTACTGTAACTTTGGTAGAACAAATGTAATGCAATGAATAAGCTTCTTTTTAACTGATATATATATAAAAATATATTTATCTAATATTTTTAACAAATAATTTCCTTGGCACTAAAGCATTGACTAGGCCAGCGGTTCTCAAAGTGGGGTTCGCGACCCTCCGGGAGTCCGTGGCACTCTGCCAGGGGGTCCGTGAAAATTTTTCAGATTCTATAGATTTTTTTTGTTTTTTGTGATGCAACACTTTTGGAGAGAGAGGACGCTGGCGTTGTCTGTTCGCCGCTTCTCTGTCCGAAAATGTATCTGCCGAGTTTTGGACCAACGTTTCTACCTCAATTTCCAATACGTTCAGTGGCTTGCACACGCTGTTCTGGACACTTTTGTAACACCCGATCGCAACTTTTTACGGATGCTCCGCTTCCGACCTGTCCACCCTGCTACACCTGCTAATGTTGCTCCTGCTTCAGGGCTAACGCTATCGCTAACGTTAGTGGCTCCATCTGACGACAAGCCCGATTCTCCGTCTCATTTCCCCGTTTTGAGTCCCGATCCTGCTTCACTGTATCACATGCGTAGCTGCTGTTTGATTTTGTCCTGCCACAAAAGACACAACAACGGTCCTCTCCACCCAGCCAGTCTGACGGCGATCAGAAGCTAGCCTAGTTCTACCTGCTCAGGCTAGCCTGCTCTGGCCACCACCGGTGCTCCTCTGCGGCAAACTTCTTCAACTTCCACCATCTCTCCTCAGTGCTGTCCGTCCTTGAGTCGCTTCCTGGACAGGCTGCCTGCTGTCCTGGTTCATCTGTACTCTTGGCTGATGGCGCATTCTCCCGGCCGATCCACGACCACAGCTAACACTGTGCTAACGTTAGCATCATACCATCGTGATGCTTCGTAACTTTTTAGGATCAACCACTTCACTACACCCCCTCTATGTCTGTCAGTCATTGAATACCTCGGCTGTTACGAGTTGGCAGACCCAGGTATGTCCATAGAGGTTCCAAACGTGGGTTTGTTTACACCGGCTCAGCTGACACTATCCCAACTGTGTGGTCCCGGCGCCCCGTCACCGCCCACTTACGTCATCACAACAAACCACACGTGTGTTAACCTGAAGCCCTTGGCCTGTGTTGATGGCATCACTGTTTTACCAGCCATTGCAACATATAACAACTCCCACACATTCATGTTGTTAAATACCCGCTCCCTTAACAACAAAGCATCACTTATTAATGAAATCATCATTGATAGGAAATTAGATTTTCTCTGCCTCACTGAGACATGGCAAAACCAACAGGACTTCCTCACACTCAACCTAGCCACCCCCCCCCAGGTTATGCTTATCTCCAACAGCCCCGCTCCATTGGTCGTGGTGGTGGGCTGGCAGTCATCCACAGAGCAGATATCCCTGTCAAACAGCTGCTTGTGACGAATACAATCTCACTTGAGTGCATTGCCTTCTCAGTGGCTGCCCCCTCAAAGCAGCAGGTCGTCCTCATTTACCGCCCCCCCAAACCTCCCACCTCATTCATATCTGAGTTGTCTGAGCTTCTCACCTCAATCTGCTCCATGTCCCCATCCACACTACTGCTAGGTGATTTTAACATCCACATGGACTCCAGCACCTGCACATTTGCCGCTGAGTTTCTGTCACTATTGGAGTTCTTTAACATCACGCAGCATGTCCAAGGTCCCACCCACACTAAGGGCCACACCTTGCGTGTCTTTACTTGCAGAGAGAAGCAATCAGCTTCATGGACTGCCTTGCATCACTCCAATAGTGTCCAGAGCTGGCTGCCATTACAAGTAGTGATTTGGGATTGTAGCAATGCAGTTGTTTTGCAATTTACTTGATATATGTTGCAATGCAGGCATGTGTTCAATTGTTTATAGCCTGCATTTATTTTGTGATTAGACTTTATAAATGTGTGAATGAGTGAAACACTTGATGTGTTATCTTTGTGTGTGTGTGTGTGTGTGTGTGTGTGTGTGTGTGTGTGTGTGTGTGTGTGTGTGTGTGTGTGTGTGTGTGTGTGTGTGTGTGTGTGTGTGTGTGTGTGTGTGTGTGTGTGTGTGTGTGTGTGTGTGGGGCACTAAGACCAGCATCCAACCACAAGGGAGTGTGTGGTGTGTGTGTGTGTGTGTGTGTGTGTGTGTGTGTGTGTGTGTGTGTGTGTGTGTGTGTGGGGCACTAAGACCAGCGTCCAACCACAAGGGAGTGTGTGTGTGTGTGTGTGTGTGTGTGTGTGTGTGTGTGTGTGTGTGTGTGTGTGTGTGTGTGTGTGTGTGTGTGTGTGTGTGTGTGTGTGTGTGTGTGTGTGTGTGTGTGTGTGTGTGTGTGTGTGTGTGTGTGGGGCACTAAGACCAGCATCCAGCCACAAGGGAGTCCACAAGGGAGTGTGGACAATTAGAAGCCAAAGCCAGAAGCCAGACAATTTTTTCCTTTAGATTCTGCTGGTTTCACACTAATTTCCTGTGTTAAACCGGGAATGCCGTGCCAGATAAAGGCCAACTGCCTCATCCTTGGTGATCTCCTGGCAGGAAGTGGAAAGGGGGGCAGGGGCAGTGGAGGACAAGACTGCACTGCTCTCTCGTAGAGTCTCTGGTGACCTGGAGTAGCCCTCACTCAGAGACTCCATCAGAGCTGCAGCGTATGCTGAAGGAAGGAAACAGGTGATCACATTCAGTGATATTATAGATGCATCACACAATAAATAATATTTAGGGACCGCGTAAAACAGCTAACCGTATGATGACTTCTCCTTGATAGGGCGAACTACCCAGTCACCTTTGCAGAACCTTGGGTAGCGAACTGCATAACGCACCTCACTTTCACTGGTTCGAGCAACCTCTCTGCTGCTATTGTGGTTAAACTGCAGGGCTGCCATGAGAAGCCTGTAGAGACAGCATATTATGCAGTTCACAAGTTGTTTGTACATATGTGAATAAACTGTTTAACTGATAGCATTAGTCGGTTAAACTTCGTATTGTCCGTTAACGGTTAAATGGTTAATTATTAACATCCCTAAGCCGTACACATTCTTTCACCATCACATCATATTTACCTGCTGTACATCCCAAGGAAGGAGAACCCAGTGTGCTTTGGTGCAAAGTGGAGGATGAGGGAGTGAAATGCCTCCAGGGAATAGGTCTGATGCTGTGGAGACAACTTCCGGACATCCTTCACCAATGCTGTTCTCAAAGTCACCCTCTCCAGTTTAATGGCTGCAGTTGTTCCTGTACAAACACATATTTTGTTCTGATGTTACTAGAATTGTCTACATATGCATGTATTACCTACACTGATAAAGCACGATTGTGTGATACTATCAGGTGTTATTTATATAATGCCTTGTTAATGTGTTAGCACACTTTGGGTTATATATTGATGGAGGGCTCTGGAACCAAAATAAACTAAGCACCAACAAGCACTTGGACGACTAAGATGTTTCAGCAACACAGTGTACAGAGTACGTTACCTGGTTCCAGCCACTCCTTGTCCCTTGCTTCTCCCTCCAGAGGTGGATGTGCACAGCAGGGAAATGCAGGAGTGCCGTGTTCATGGATGTCCTGAACATGATTCACCATACTTTGCCACTTGGCTTCCATCACATCTGGATCTCCATCAGGAGTGGAAGCTGCAGTCCAGTACAGGTGATTGATGATGGCTGGCCTCCACAGCTTCAGGTCCTCACACTCCCTCTCCTTTGCAGCAGCATCCAAAGCTTTCCCTAGACCTGTTTCACAACAGAAACAAAATGTTAAAAAAGAAAATGTAATTATAAACAAATTTCAGCCTAATCAAACCTACCAACATCAAGATACATACTTTTACCAATATGCCAGATATCAAAGAAATGACTCGTTCCTCCTGGACACAACTCCTCCCGCACCCACTTGGCAACCTAAAGAGTGAAACACAACACCTTAATTACTTACTAACTAGTAAGAAAATGTAGTTTTTGCTGTTAATATGGTGCGCCAAGCATCTTTGTGTGTACATATGTCTGTTCGTTCTTGTGTGTCTTTACCTGGCGATTTCTGTCCGTAATAAGGGCTGAAACTTGCATGTGTTGCTCCTTAAGTTAGTCAATGCTGCGTTTCAGACCCTCTAGTTCACACCAGGTGCTGCTTGGAACCTCTGAGCTCTGTAAAACAACATTATGCAGTCATATCACTAACCGTGTCACATCAGACGAAAGCACATCTGATTTTGTGACTGATAATGTTAACTTACCTGGACAAGTTGAAGATCCAAAACCTTGTTTATTCTGTCCTCGATCAAGGAGTAGGTGCCATATTTGGCACAATGGCCAGGAGAGTCTGACCTATGAGTGTCAAAAACAGTTTAATTCAGACGTTAAAGCCCAAAAAACAATGCAATGCAGTTATTGTAAGTTGCTTTGGATAAAGCTAAATTAATGTAATTTAAATATTGTTTTGACCTCTTTTTGATATCAATAATACAAGATGAAGTGTTCTACCTGCAGTCACCAGAGAGGATTAGCCAACCCCCCATCTCCTTCAGTTCTCGGATTATCCCAGCCTGCTCATTTGGCCAGGCCTGCACGATAGTAGGGATTGTGTACAGGCGTTGATGGCGGAAGAAGGTGCCGACACTGATGCACTGAAGCCCTAACAGTTTCAACATCCGTATTGTCTGGGTAGCCATGCAACCTGAGAAGTGGATGGCCCCACTCAGTAACAGGTTGCAGGCTGGCATGTTTCTGTACAGCATTGGCTGGTTCTGCCAAAAACGCTCATACCCACATGCTGCACATACCTAAGAGATGTGAAAAGCAGAACATTGCCAGTACAACTTGTAGTGGACATTTTTATTATATCCTTATATGTTTAAACCAAATGCTTCTCATTTCCTGAGATGTGCTGTTTTCTTCTCATACTCTAGTGTGGGTTTTTATTCCCAAGCGCTTCAAGGCCACAGAGCTGATTTGTGAGACTATATTGAGACTACTCCTCTTCACACAAAGTCTCCCAAGAACTTCCCTATTCTGAGCTCAAGGACAGGTGTCTAATAACAATATTAGACCGTGTGAAGACAGATTTCTGAGCTTCCCGCCCTTTCTTGTATATAAGCTTTGCTTTTCTATTATATCTGCGCACACTCACGCAGACTATGCTATACTCTGTGAGACCTGTGTCTATGTATTGTATCTTATGTATTTGAAGCTTCAAATAAATAACCAGAAAGACAACTCTGTCTGATTCGGCATTCATTTGTTTTGACTTGTACTCTCCACAGTGTTGGGTCTCAGATTTCCATAACAATTGGCGTTGTCGGCAGGATCTCTGCAAGTTCGATTGGGGACACCTACCTACCGCTGGTGGTGGCCGGCTCCAGGATCCTCGGATCCTCCTCTACCTCGACAGAAACCGTACGGGACGAGAGGACCAGCGCCGGGGGTGGAACCGATTGACTTCACGAGATCCAACAAACTCAAAAGGCTTTCAATACTCGGTGAGATGTACAGTGTCTAAATTGTTTAAAGTTAAACGTAATTAAACTCCATGGCATTTATGAGAGGAACTGCTCGAAAGTAGGATATTTGGGATATCCGTCGTGATTTGGGATTACGATCAGTCGTAGCCTGGGTGGTTTTACGATTAGTTTTTGTGTGATTTGTACTGTGAAACAAATATCACATCATCGACGGATGAAAAAAAAATATTGTTTTGGTAACACGGGGTGTTTTGGTAACACTTAAAGACTTTGTTATGGGAGCAAAGCAAGTGTTTTGGTAACACTTAAAGACTTTGTTTTGGGAGCAAAGCAGGTAGGGGACTAGTACACTCTCCTGAGGGTCCGATTGTAGATGTCATGCGAGCAGAAATGGTGAAAACAGTCTGTCTAAATTAAATATCTGGACGGAAATGTTCGGATTTCCAAAGGGAGGTTTTTTGAGTAAATTAAAAATCAAGAACCTAAAGAATAAATTACAAGAACATGAAGATGGAATGAAGGGTACAAATAAAGTTAAAGTAAAAGACTTATAGAAAACTGGATACTCACAGAAAGTGTTTATAATACTGGGAGGATTAAGCAGAATGCCGTGAAAGAAGGCAGTTGGCCTTGGGCATTAAAGAAAATATTAAGGTTGAAGATGAATGTGAAGAAAAGAAGGAAAATAAATTATTTCCAAAACCATGTAAACCCCAGACATCTCTGTGTCCTTCAATTGCAGGCCTGAATGACCTCTCCTCGACTGGGTATCCTTTCCCTCCCCCGGGGTACAACCCTGGCAATCCGGCTGACCCACCTCAACCACCTCCACCGCCACTACAAGCCACAGACATGCAGTCCGTCAACTCCAAGCTCGCCACCCCCATCAGCCCCAAGTAGATGGGGACAACAGCGGGATAAACAAACCCGAAGACATAGCGCAAGCTACGCAGAATGCTGGCCGCTCACAATACCGAGGGAGAGGCAGAGGAGGTTTTCCGAGGCAGAGGACGAGAAGCAAGAACTTCATTTGACGAAAGATGTTTCAAGAGTGGCAGTGTTGAACATTGGATTATGGGACTGCTCACAGAACACTGGCCATGGAGGCAGAGGGGGAAAGCAAGGACGGGGCCATTCACAATCAGACTGACCTACACCAGAGGGGGAGGAAGGGGCCCAATCGAGCGAGATGGAAATTCAGCCAGCAGCATCGAACCAGGGAAGAGACACACAAACACATCATGCTATTGAGTAATTGGAAAATGTAGAAGACATGTCTGTGGTTAAAGAGGGTATATATATTTGAAATATGACAGTGAAACAGCATTTGAGAAATGTCCCACACTGACTTTGGCTGTCATGGGTGTTGATGTTCCATTTTTTTGGTTGATTCTGGGGCTACACATTCTGTGAGCCTTCTATTCACAAAGCACTCAGTAGTAATGATTTTATGTGCTTTTTTAACGATAAAATTGTTACTCTTAGAAACAAAATTAATGACCTCTTGCCTTTGACCAGTATAGTGTTATCAACAGCTCCCGGAAACGTAAGTTCTAATATTACACTAGATAGTAAACTAGAATGCTTTTCAGCCATAAACCTTGAACAATTAAATTCAATGATTCTCTCTTCTAAACCATCAACGTGTATGTTAGACTCAATTCCAACTAAGCTGTTGAAGGAAGTTTTTCCCTTAATTAGCACTTATTTATTAAATATTATGAATATGTCTTTATTATCAGGCTATGTTCCACAATCATTCAAAGTAGCAGTGATAAAAACCGCTTCTTAAAAAGCACAACCTCGATCCAGAGGTTTTAGCCAATTATAGACCTATTTCCAATCTTCCGTTCCTCTCAACAATTCTTGAGAAAGCAGTCGCAAAACAGTTGTGTGATTACTTAAAAAACAATGATTTATTTGAAGATTTTCAGTCTGGCTTTAGAACACATCATAGCACAGAGACAGCTCTGGTTAAAGTCACAAATGACATTCTAATAGCCTCTGACAAGGGACGTGTCTCTATTCTTGTTTTGCTCGATCTCAGTGCTGCATTTGATACTATCGACCATGATATCTTATTGCAAAGACTAGAGCACTTAGTTGGCATACAGGGAACTGCTTTAGACTGGTTTAGGTCCTATCTATCTGAACGCTCTCAGTTTGTACGTGTCAATGATGAATCTTCCACGCAAACCAAAGTTAGCCATGGAGTGCCACAGGGCTCAGTGCTCGGACCTATTTTGTTCACATTATATATGCTTCCGTTAGGCAATATTATAAGGAATCATTCTGTACATTTTCATTGTTATGCGGATGATACTCAACTATATTTATCAATCAAGCCTGATGAAATTAATCATCTAAATAAAATTCAAGACTGCCTTAAGGACTTAAAAACGTGGATGACCTTAAACTTTTTGATGTTAAACACGAAGTTATTGTACTTGGCCCGAAGAATCTACGAAACAAATTATCTAAGGATATACTAACTATGGATGGCATTAATTTGGCCTCCTGTGAGACTGTAAGGAATCTTGGTGTTATATTTGATCAGGATTTATCCTTTAACGCCCACATAAAATCAATTTCAAGGACCGCCTACTTCCATCTACGTAACATTGCAAAAATCAGGCATATCTTGCCTCAAAACGATGCAGAGAAACTAGTCCATGCATTTGTTACTTCAAGGCTGGATTATTGTAACTCTTTATTATCAGGGTGTACCAAGAAGTCAGTCAAGTCGCTTCAGCTGATTCAAAATGCTGCAGCTCGTGTACTAACCAGAGTTAGGAAAAGGGACCACATTACTCCTGTTCTGGCTGCCTTACACTGGCTCCCTATAGAACACAGGATAGAATTTAAAATTCTTCTTCTCGCCTACAAAGCCCTTAATGGGCAGGCGCCATCTTACCTTAAAGAACTCATTATACCCTACTGTCCTACTAGGGCATTGCGTTCCAAGAATGCAGGGTTGTTGGTTGTTCCTAGAGTCTCTAAAAGTACAATGGGAGCCAGAGCCTTTTCTTATCAAGCTCCACATTTGTGGAATCAGCTTCCAGTTTGTGTTCGGGCGGCAGACACCCTATCCGTTTTTAAGAGTGCGCTTAAGACCTTCCTTTTTGATAAAGCTTATAGTTAGGGCTGATTAGATTCAGCCCCTATAGTTTTGCTGATATAGGCTTAGTTTGTCGGGGGACATCTTACTTCTTCCTTCTCTCTGTCTATACCTGTGTACTCTCATGTTCCGATTAACCCAGCTTCCCCAAATTTCTTTCTTTTTGGTGTCTATATACGCCGGGATCCGGAGTCATGGATGATCCTGCGCTCCTCTGTCCTGGATTGCGAGCCCTGGATCTTGAGTCGTGGCTGTGGTCCTGGATCATAGGTCCTGGATGGATATCCTCGTGGATTCATCTTCCTATTATACACACATGCATTTCCAAACATTTGGACTACCTATGTTGCAAATGTATTATCTTTTCAATTTACACACGGCATCTATTGCACGTCTGTCCGTCCTGGGAGAGGGATCCCTCCTCTGTTGCTCTCCCTGAGGTTTCTCCCATTTTTCCCTTTAAACTGTGGGTTTTCTTCGGAAGTTTTTCCTTGTACGATGTGAGGGTCTAAGGACAGAGGGTGTCGTATTGTCATACTGATATTTTGTACAAACTGTAAAGTCCACTGAGACAAATGTAACATTTGTGATATTGGGCTATATAAATAAACATTGATTGATTGATTGATTGACTGTGGTAAAAAGGGCAGATTTTCCTGATTGCAAATTTAGTGGTAGATTTATTCACTGAATAGGAGTGACTGTAAAGGAGAAGTTTTTGTATCACTGCAGGGTAAAGATAACGGTGATGACAGTCATCCATTTCCCACATCAGTCAAAAACAGTTTTCTTTTATCATCTGTATGCCCAATAAATTTACTGGGCAGAGATTTGATTCTCCGGTTCGGCTTAGACCTCATTTTTCCACAAATGATGGTCTCAAAGTCCGGCAGCCATCTCCTACGATGGTTAAAAACTGGCATTTGATGATAAAGAACTGGTGAATGTGTATCAATGGCTGCTGACATATTCTGATTCTCAGGCGTTGTTGCGTTTGACTGATCAACGTGTTTTTCCACCTGCTGTGTTCATGGAGGCTTCTCATTTGCATTGTACTGCTAACGTTGTTGATGATCCGTATTATGAGAGCTTTCTGTTAGAATGTGTGAATTATAAGCTCATGCTTAAAACTATGTATTGGAGTTTGCTGCGCAGCGCTGGTTCCTGTTACACTCGCACCCACACAACACAAACTGTGTCAAATCCCAGGGGCGGTCTACACATT